GATAGGTGGTTGTCCAATCTCTTCTTAAAAACCTCCAGTGATGAAGCACCTACTTCTAAAGGCAAACTGTTCCACTGCTTAATTATCCTCACTGTTAGAAAGTTTCTCCTTAATTCCAGTAGTAACTCCTTAATTGCTTCTCTCGATTAGTTTCCATCCATTGTTTCTTATCTTGCCTTCTGGTGCTTTGGAAAATCAGTTGACCTCCTCTTCTTTGTGGCAGCCCTTCAAATACTGGAATACTGCTATCATGTCACCCCTAGTCCTTCTTTTCTCTAGACTGGCCATAACCAATTCTTGCAATTGTTCTTCATATGTTTTAGTCTCCAGGCCTTAATCATCTTATTTAGAATAGAATAGAACAGTGATGGCTAACCTTTTTGCCATCGCGTGCCAAAAGTGGGGGAGTGCGAGGGGGGGCGTGTGCGTGCGTGCCCACACCCATAATTCTATGTGCCCTGCCCACTGTGTGTGACCCCCCGAGCTTCCCCCACTTTTGGCACATGATGGCATGGTGGGCCTGGTAGGCCCATTTTTCACCCTCCCCAGGCTCCAGAGGCTTTCTAGGAGCCTGGGGAGGGTGAAAACGGCCTCCCCTAACCCCTGGGGGTCCTTCAAAGACCAGAAACAGCCTGTTTCCCAACTTCCAGTGGGCCCCGAAGACCTGAAAATCAGCTGGCCAGCGCATGCATGTCCGCTGGAGCTGAGCTTGCGTGCCCACCGATATGGCTCCGTGTGCCACCTGTGGCACTCGTGCCATAGGTTTGCCATCACAGGAATAGAATAAGAGAGTTGAAAGGGACCTTGGAGAACCCCCTGCTCTTTTTTGCACTTCTTCCAAAGCTTCAACATCTTTTTTTGTAGAATGGTGACCAAAACTGGATGCAATATTCCAGGTGTGGCCTTATTAAGGCTTTATAAAGCAGTACTAATACTTCACGTGATTTTGATTCTATGTCTCTGTTTATACAACCAAGGATTGTATTAGCTTTTTTGGCTGCTGCCGTACACTGTTGGCAGGAGTTTGGTATTCATTGTGCCTCCAGGACCCAATTAACGAAGGGTACCGAGGTACCACTGTATTAAAGACACAGAACCAAAACCCAGATCAAAGATCAAAGGTGCAAATCTCAATTGTGATGTTATATTGTACATTTCATCATTCTGGGATCGCTGTGGTTAAGAACAGAAGGTTTATGTTCATACTAGCTGAATACCTTTGCTCTGCTACGAAACTATGTGATTGGGCTTGATAAATCTTACAGCTTGAAAATTAATGAGTAGTTATGATTGGCCTCTCCTCTCTCCTTCTTTCCCTCAGCCTTGCCCCACAGAAACGTCTCCTATCCTATCCACTTCTCTCCCTCAGGCTTGCCCCACAGAAGTCTCCCCTATCCTATCCCCTTCTCTCCCTCAGCCTTGCCCCACAGAAGTCTCCCCTATCCTATCCCCTGCTTGCTGCTGTGAAAGTAAAACTGAAACTCCTCTCCTCTGCTTGTGTTTTTGCATTTGGAACAGATTTCTTTTCAGGTGGGGAGGGGGAGTAGAACTCCTTAGCATCAGAGTGTGTTAATCATAATATAGTAAATACTAATGCTCTAATGGTCATTTCGAAAAATCCTTTCTTAGTGAGCACCTAGAAGCCAAGAGGAACATATGTGGCAAATTTCAAGTTTGTAGGTTTTACGGTGCTGGAGATTTCATGATGATGTGTGAGTGGGATTTCGCTTTTATATATATAGATTGATAAATCAATGAATAAAGAATATGAAATATGTTTTTGATGATTTTGACATGAGACTTATTTTCATATTTATGCATAATACGGAGAAACGGGCTTTCCCCGCTATTATTCTCTTTCAATTTAAAATTTATAGTTGCTAGCATGGTTTTGGGAAGAATGACATGGTGCAAAGTTTTGAAGATCAAAAAAAGGTTTTGATCGCTATATCAAGAGTGAAGGATGTTATCAATATACGTCCAATATGGGAGCTAATGTAAAGATGGTTCATTCCTAAATTTCAGATCAGGAGTGGCGAAATGGATTGTTTATGAATTCTCTGTTAATCTCTGATTACCTCTGTTTATGAACCAGCTCTTTATCAGTATCGTGAGAAAAAAGACTTATCAAAATTATTCAGTGTGGTGAAGGTTATTCCTGAGTTAAAAACCGAGCTGTTCTTCCTCTTTGCTTTTTCCCTCATTTTAATTTTCTGTTTATCCTATCTTTTTAAAACACACGGGCTCCAAAAACATGCCTTTTTTACTTAAAAAAAGATTACCTTCTTATTTGTCCTTCTACAGATTTCACTATAAATTAATTTCAGAAACCATGAAACAATTTATATTTACAACAAGAAAAAAAAGCAATGGCATTCCATTGTGGGAAAATCCCAAATTTCTCTGAGAAAAAGATAAGGAAACATAATAAAGAAAATATCTAGAGGAAACTGTTGATGTAATTAACATAATCTTCATGGGACTTTCCAAAACCACTAATTGCGTAGTTTTAGCTTCAAATAGATGTTGTCTTTTTCGTTTGTTTGGTATTAACAAAGGATTCTTAATCCAATTTAGCAAAGAGATTGTTATTAACATGGGCTTTGAAAGCAGGGAGATAGCAAAACATATACAAACATATTGTATTTTTGTCTATATCCACACATCCTCTGAAGAACTAGATTCAATGCTTGTGTTTGGTCCACAGATATACTGCATCTTCAAGAGATAGGAATGATGTTTCAATAGAATAAGATGAATTCTCTCAAGTAATGCTCAATTCTTCAGCATTTATTAGATCCATGATTAGTTCCTCTTGCAATCCATATCAGGAACCATCTCCAAAATTCATCACTTCACAATATCTATATCTGCCTTCCTTTCTAGGATTAATCTCCTAAATTTCAGTCCATCTTTATAAATGTAGGAGATAGCCAGGGCTGAGGATGAGGTCAAATGTTTCATCAGTTTGAAGTCTCTACGCCGCCATAAGGGAACTAACTACAGTAAATCCAACCCTGTGAATTCCATTGATTCTTATCTAGTGTCAATTTGTCTTGAACGTTAGTGGATCAGGTTCTTGTGTAATAAACTTGTACCGTATTTTTGAACTCTATCTCAACTCCTGTTTTCTTGCAACTGACAATATATTCTTGAGCTCAGGAAAACAAAGCAGTTTACCAAGTTCGCTTCTTCATCATCAATTCTGAATTCACTAAGCGCATTGCTTGACCTTTCCTTCAATATTTAACATTAATACTCTTTGCATAGCTAAAAATCTATGGAGATTCTTGGTCATCTAGGTCATGGTTGTCCCAAAGGTGCTTTTTCAAGAGGCAACTGGACTTTCTTTGTTTTTCTTTGAAGATGTTTCGCTTCTCATCCAAGAAGCTTCAGAGCTGAAGAAGCTTCTTGGATAAGAAGTGAAACATCTTCAAAGAAAAACAAAGAAAGTCCAGTTGCCTCTTGAAAAAGGGACCTTTGGGATTAATACTCTTCATTTTTTACTTTCATAACAATTCTTGGTTTGGGTCCAAATCAGTGTCTTCTTCATATCACAAACTATTCATGTTTCAATCTCCAATATTGATTCCAGATGTTATCCTTTCATTCTTTGAACATATTTAATATATAATTTAAACAGATATGAGATCACTATTCATCTTTACTTTATTTCCGTACCCTGTCTATTCTCCAGACGTAGTTTTTCACAGTAGCTTTTGGCTGAATGTAAGGTTTCCACAAAAGAATAATTGAGCGTTCTGCTACGCCCATTAGTCATAATAAGAACCACATTCAGGCATGATTTAATAAGTCAAAGGCCCTGATGTACCCAAGAAGCAAAATTAAACCTTCTCCTGATGTTCTCTTGCTCTCTAACTCATCCATTTTATGTTAGCTATCGTTTTGCTCAGCGCTTTTTGAAACCAGTCTGTTTAATGGGCATTTTTTTCTCCATATATGGCTCCATTCCTCTTAAGCACAGGTAATCCTTGACTTAACAACCGCAGTCAAGCCTGAAATTTATGTTGCTAAGTGAGACATTTGTTAAATGACATTTGATCCATTTTATGACCTTTTTTGCCACATTAGAATAGAATAGAATAGAATAGAATAGAATAGAATAGAATAGAATAGAATAGAATAGAATAGAATAGAATAGAATAGAATAGAATAGAATAGAATAGAATAGAACAACAGAGTTGGAAGGGACCTTCTAGTCTTCTAGTCCAGTGTTTCCCAAACTTGACCCTTTGAAGATGTATGGACTTCAACTCCCAGAATTCCTCAACCAGGCATACTGGCTGGGGAATTCTGGGAGTTGAAGTCCATGCATCTTAAAATAGCCAAGTTTGGGAAACACTGTTCTAGTCCAACACCCTGCTTAGGCAGGAAACCCTAAACCACTTCAGACAAATGGTTATCCAACATCTTCTTAAAAACTTCCAGTGTTGGAGCATTCACAACTTCTGCAGGCAAGTTGTTCCACTGATTAATTGTTCTCACTGTCAGGAAATTTCTCCTTAGTTCTAAGTTGCTTCTCTCCTTGATTAGTTTCCACCCATTGCTTCTTGTTCTACCCTCAGGTGCTTTGGAGAATAGCTTGACTCCCTCTTCTTTGTGGCAGCCCCATAGATAGTGGAAGACTGCTATCATGTCTCCCCTAGTCCTTCTTTTTATTAAACTAGACATACCCAGTTCCTGCAACCGTTCTTCATATCTTTTAGCCTCCAGTCCCCTAATCAGCTTTGTTGCTCTTCTCTGCACTCTTTCTTAAGTTAAGTTAAGCGAATCATTGCCGTTAGTAAGTAAATTAGTAAGAAGGTTGTTGAGTGAATTTAGCTTCCCCATTGACTTTGCTTGTCAGAAGCTCTCAAAAAGTGATCACATGATCCTGGGACATTGGCAACCATCATAAATATGAGTCAGTTGCCAAGCATCCAAATTTTGATCATGTGACTTTGGGGCTGCTGACCACTAATTTTTCAAAGAAGACTTACCTGTAAGGATCTTTAGGATCCTTGGCGTCACATACGTCAGCATGACCATGGCAGACGCAACGTCCTCCGATGCTGATATCTTTGATGCTGTAGTAATACTAGAAAAACAGAGGTTCCTTCGTCAATTTGCAAAAAAACCGCTCCAGCATTCTCACCACTGTGAGAAAATCGTGAGGCATAAATATTCACTCAAGGGCAAAGCTAGTCTTGGTTGGGCAATCAAATAAGCATTTTACAAGTAAAGAAAAACAGCATTCAGAGAGCTTGATTGTGTTTGGTAATCTCCCAACCTACTGATTTAGGTGGCTGGGCTAAAGCTGCAAGATTACATTGGGCTGGTAGCCATGTCACCCTTATGACAAAATAACTGTAGGATGGCATCGTGGATCTGCCAAGAACTTTATGCCAAAAAAGGTAATAAGAAACAGAAGTGACTGACAGCTGAGAAATATTACAGGTAGACCTTGACAGGAACATCCATCGTAAACAGTTGGTTTACAACACAGGTGTCAAGCTTGATTTCATTGAGGGCTGCATCAGAGTTGTGTTTGACCTTGGGGGGGCCGAGGTGGGCATGGCCAGGGTGGGTGTGGCCAGCTTGATGTCACTTGTGTTGGGGCATCTGTGGTGGCCTGAGGCTCTGCCAGTGAAAACGGGCTCCCAAGCTCCGTTTTCAGGTGCGACGGCCTCCTGCAGCCCTCTGCCAGCAAAAACAGAGTTCAGGGGGCCGTGTGCGGCCCTTGCGAGCTCAGTTTTCGGACGCGACGGCATCCTGCAGCCCTCTGCCCGCAAAAACAGAGTTCAGGGGGCCGTGTGCGGCCCTTGCGAGCTCAGTTTTCGGACGCGACAGCATCCTGCAGCCCTCCGCCCGCAAAAACAGAGTTCAGGGGGCCCTGTGCGGTCCTTGCGAGCTCAGTTTTTGGACGCGACGGCATCCTGCAGCCCTCTGCCAGCGAAATGGAGCTCCTGCGCCCCCCCCACCCTCCATTTTCGCTAGCAGAGGCACTGCGGTCCAGGCCTTCACTGTTTCCAGGGCAGCCCCACAGGCCAGATCTAAGCACCCTGCAGGCCTCATTCAGCCCGCAGGCCTTGCATTTGACACCCCTGGTTTACAATTACGTTAATTTCTCATCCGTCTCCAGAAACAACTGGACTAGTGGCAGTGATCAAGTTGACAATTCGAAGGAAATTTTAGAAGCATCTCACCCTCCTGGTCACAGTGGGATCCCTCAAGGCCTTCCCCATCAGGTGTCCGAGCAGAGTGTTGGTTCTCAGGAAGCGTAAACGGATATTCGTTGCTTTGGTGAAATTCCGCAGAAGAGGGGAATACGTGAAATTCATGGCTCCTGGACGCCCATTCACCAAGGAAACCACAATCTGCAAAACCCCAAAGAGAAATTTTTAAAACGCAACATTTCCAGAAATTAAAGAGCAATTTTTTTCCAGGATTTTTTTTTTATATAAAAAAAAAAAAAAAAACTAAACTTTTATGACCTATATACAGCATTTTATCACTACTTACAAAAATATACTCACTTTTTATTATACGGACTTGGTTTGCTCATAAAAATACATTGTGCAACCTGCACCAGAAAAATACAGTTCATAAAATGAAAGTACTTTGTTCAGGCAATCTCTCTCTAAAACAGAGGTCTCCAAGCTTGGCAATTTTAAACCCGGAGGACTTCAACTCCCAGAATTCCCCAGGCTGGGGAATTCTGGGAGTTGAAGTCCTCCAGGCTTAAAGTTGCCAAGCTTGGAGACCCCCTGCTCTAAAACCCCAGACTTGGCAATAAATCTTTCTCCAGAAACTCCGACTAATGTTCAGTAGCTAATGGCAGAAACCTGAAGAAATAGCATTACTGGATATCTACTATTTATTACAAAAAGGATTATACATGCATAGAAGTCAGACTGCAGGTAATCACAATTACTTGCAATTACTATCACAATTACTATCACAATTGAGACCAAAATTTCCATCGTGAAGCAAGACAGCTGTTATGTGAATTCTATCCCATTTAAGGATCTCTTTTGCCACGGTTGTAAAGCGAATCACTGCAAGTTGCTATGTTAGCAGCACGGCTGTTAAGTGAATCTGGCTTCCCCACTGACACTGCTTGTCAGAAAGTCACACAAGGGGATCAGAAAAAAAAGGCTGAAGCTCTGTTTGGAGGCTTTTTTTCTGAAGCTTCTGTCAGAAGCTTTTATTCTGAAAGACTATCTGTACCCTGTTCAATGTCTTTTCTTTGGTATTGGTATATAGATTAACCTCTTCCGATCTGTTGGTTATTGTGTCATTCTCCAGATTTGTTAGCATAGTTCGGTTAGAACCTTTACTGATTCTTCTTTTGTTGCTTGCCATATTATTTTAGATAGAAGCCTTTCAGAGGCTTCTTTTCTGAGGCTTCGTTTCTGAGGCTTCTTTCAGCCTCTGAAATCTCCGTTTGCAAGGCTGGGTGGGGCTACATTCGGAGTATTTATTTATTTATTTATTTATTTATTTATTTATTTATTTTATTTTATTTTATTTTATTTCTATACCGCCCTTCTCCTGCGGGACTCAGGGCGGTGTACAGCCAAGATAAAACATAGCATATAAAATTTAAAAACATTTTAAAAAACAAATAATTTTGGCCCGAATTTAAAACAACCCAATTAAAACCACATTCGATTAAAAAACTGAGAGGATGGGATCAAGCCAGCCCAGCTAGATGGAACAAGGGCCCGACGAAAAGTCCGGAAGTCTGATATAAGATGCATCCAGATTTTCACCCTCTTTTTGGGGGGGGGAAAAGAGGCATCTTATACTCTGAAAAATACAGTATGTGATTCTGCGCGGCTTACAATAAATATAGATAAAAAACTAAATAAAACACATAAAATACATATGTTAAAAAAAAAAAAAGACCCACAGTAGCTAAATTATAAATCAATCGCTTACATAGCCAGAAGACAAAGGCTGCACGCTTGGGCACAAAATCAAGTTTTCTGTGCATGAGAAAGGCCAGCAAGGTTTGGGGTCAATCTGATTTCTGGAAGAATTATGTGATAGAAAAGGCTTCCTTCCAAACATAGACTAATTTATTTCATCTTTTATCAGCATTAGGGGGCAAGATGGCTTAGTATAGTGGTGGTAAACCTTTTACTCACCGAGTGTCAAACAGGTACGTACTTTGTGCGCTTTCCCGCGTGTGCCATCCACGCAAACGTGTGGCTCCTCCCCATGCGCTGCGCACGCAACTGCACCATCTGCACATGTGCACAGTTTTCGCATGCCCGTGCACTGCGCACGCAACCTCAACATGCGTGCAACTTTTGCACTGCTCCTCCTGTGTGCTGTGCACGCAATTGTACCATCTGCGAGTGTGCATGGTTTTTGCACGCACAATGCATGCGCACGAACGGTGTCTGCACATGCATGTGCTGCATGCAGGTACTCTCACGCGTATGCACAAATGCGCACGCATGTGCAGGAAAGCTCCATAGACCAGCTGGGTCCCCTGAATTGCAGGCATGTGCACCGGAGGCCCGAACACCAGCCGGGGTGCTCACGACAGCTCACGTGCCCAGAAAGATGGCTCTGCGTGCCACCTCAGGCACACCGCCTTAGGTTTGCCATCACGGGCTTAGCGGTTAAAGATGCTGAGCTTGTCAGCTGAAAAACTGACATCCCGGGTTCAAGACCCAAGTGCTGCACGATGGGGTGAGTTCCCGTTACTTGCCCCAGCTCCTGCCAATATAGCAGTTCGAAAGCCTGCAAATGTGAGTAGATAAATAGGTACCACTTCGGTGGGAAGGTAACAGCATTCCTTGCATCTCGGCATGTAGTCATGCCGGCCACATGACCAGGGAAGCATCTTCAGACAACATTGGCTCCCTCGACTAAGACACTGTCCCCCACCCCACCCCCGGAGTCGGAGACGACTGGGCAGGGGAAACCTTATCTTTACTTTTTTATCAGCATTATGCTTTATTTATAATATATATTATCAATTATTTTATAATCCAAATTTTCAGTTAAGATGAGGAGGAGGATTTGAAATAATTAAAAATCCTTGGAAACAAATAATCCTCATGTCTTTCCAATTTTATTTTGAGACTTCAGATTTCTGGGAAAGTTTCAAAGAGGGTAAAAATCCATTTGATTTTCCATCTGGAAATAATTTTTCCATAGTGTCGGATTAATACAATGCTTATGCACTTCTTTAAAAGCTTAGAGTAAATTATTTTCTCATCTCACTCCACTGCACAGCATACCTGGCAGATAAATCATAAGTGTTCTGGTTTTAAAGATGAGGCAACTGGGGATGAAAAATAATTCGTGAGCTTGTTTTAGATCGCAAATGAGAACTATGGCTCAGGGTCTAATATTAATTTTATTTCACTTAGTTCATGATAAATGTTGCTTCAAATTCAACAATTGTTGTCTCAGATCCATGAAAACAAAATATGAATAAAAGGTAAAGGTAATATGTGCTAGTCGTTCCCAACTCTAGGGGGCGGTGCTCATCTCCGTTTCAAAGCTGAAGAGCCAGCTTTGTCCGAAGATGTCTCCTTGCTCATATGGCCAGCATGATGAAATGCCAAAGGCTCACGGAACGCTGTTACCTTCCCACCAAACTTGGTCCCTATTTTTCTACTTGCATTTTTTACGTGCTTTCGAACTGCTAGGTTGTCAGAAGCTGGGACAAGTCACGGGAGCTCACCCTGTTATGCGGCACTAGGGATTCGAACCACTGAACTGCCGACCTTTCGATCGACAAGCTCAGCATCTTAGCCACTGAGCCACCGCATCCCTAGAGTTAAAGAATAGAAAACCTTAATTTTATCAGCAAGTGTTTTTCAACATTGGCCACTTTAAGATGCATGGACTTCAACACCCAGAATTCCCCAGCCAACAGGCTGCTAGGGAATTCTGGGAGTTGAAATCCACGGGTCTTAAAATTGCCAAGATTGAAAAACAATGTTATAGATCAGGGATGTTGAACTCGCAGTCATGTGGTTCTCTTTTTGTGACCTCAATGGGGTCAATGGGGGAAGCCAAATTCACCTAACAACTGTGTAATGATTCACTTAACAACTGTGGTAAGCAAAGTTGCAAAACGGGACAAAACTCACTTAACAACAGTCTCGCTTAGCAATGTAAACTTTGGGTTCAATTGTGGTTGTACGTTGAGGACGACCTGTATTGATTTTGCTTTGTGAGGTAAGATGTCTGCAACTGTACAATATCCTTCTTCCTATACACCCCATCTCTTCCCGTCCCCGCCCCCGCCCAGTTGTCAGCAGGATTTCCCAGCTGGAACGTAGCATCCACACAGATGGAATGATTCTGCCAGCATGACTCAAGATTATAGTAGAATTTTGCAACAGGATGCATGAAGTACACAGTCCCACAGACTTTTATCAGCTTTGGAAAGCTCAAAAAATGATTAAAAGGTAAAGTTCACAACACTGGAAAAGGCCAGGAATCAGCTATCTGCTAAGAAGAAGGAAAAAAAGATCATCGCTGAATATATTCTTTTTGTTTAACCATTTGGTCGTGTCTGACTCTTGGCGTCTTGTATATAGAATGTACATAGCCTTGATGGCGAATTGATGGCACGCGTGCCACAGCTGGCACACAGAGCCCTCTCTGTGGGCACGCAAACCGTCGCCCAGCTCAGCTCCACCGCGCATGCGTGCGTGTGCCTCCCGCCAACCAGCGGACTTTTGCGGTGGGGGGGGTTGGGCACAGGCCGGAGCTAAGGGTCACATTCGCATGCGGGAGTCTGCAATGCACCCTCCGTGGCCCGTTTTTGGGCCCAGGAGGCTGCAGAGAGGCCTGCCAGGCCCAAAACGGGGGGCGGGAAATTGTGCATGCGCGGGAGAGCAGGGGGGGTTGTGTGCGCATGTGCAGGGGACATGTTGCATTATGGGTTCCAGCATGCCCACGCACGCCCACGCACTTTCAGCACACAACAAGAAAAGGGTTAGCCATCACTGGTATATAGAATAACAGAGTTGGAAGGGACCTTGGAGGTCTTCTAGTCCAACCCTCTGCTTAGGCAGAAAACCCTACACCACTTCAGACAAATGGTTATCCAATATCTTCTTAAAAACTTCCAATGTTAGAGCATTCACAACTTCTGGAGGCAAGTTGTTCCACTGATTAATTGTTTTAACTCTCAGGAAATTTCTCCTTAGTTCTAGGTTGTTTCTCTCCTTGATTAGTTTCCACCCATTGCTTCTTATCCTGCCCTCAGGTGCTTTGGAGAATAGCTTGATTCCCTTTTCTTTGTGGCAGCCCCTGAGATATTGGAAGACTGCTATCATGTCTCCCCTAGTCCTTCTTTTCATTAAATTAGACACACTCAATTCCTGCAACTGTTCTTCAGATGTTTTAGCCTCCAGTCCCCTAATCATCTTTGTTGCTCTTTTCTGCACTCTTTCTAGAGTCTCCACATCTTTTTTACATCATGGTGACCAAAACTGGATGCAGCATTCCAAGAGGGGCCTTACCAAGGCATTATAAGGTGATATTGACTTTATAGGCAAGTGCTCTCCATGCTACCCTGACAACTTATTTCAATTGTTGGTCGTTCATCTTTATATCAGATTTGATGTTATCAAGCCAGCCTGTTCTTTGCTTGCTCCTTCTTCTTGTTCCACTAACCATGACTGATATCGTTGCCTTCTCCAATGAATCTGCAGGCATGACTGGGCCAGAGTAGAGTGGGATATAAATTTAATTATAAATAAGCAAAGAGACTCCCAATGGTTTTTTGAAGAAATTTCGATGACATTTCAGAATTTCTCTGATTGATTGCTGAATTCCAGATCCCATATTTTAATTTTTCCTGCCTCTCCTTTGTCTCTGCTCTCATACTTTATACTCATATCTCATACATATCTCATACTCATAAATCTTCATTGAAACCTAGTCAGACGAACCAATTTTTATACTGAATGTATAGACAAAGAAGAGACTGTGCATGGTTTCAAACTACGCACAGACGCTGAACTCAAAAATTCACCTGTCTCCTACAAACTCTTATTTCAATGGCAGACAGAAATAAATACCATGAAATCTATGAACATTCAAACCTATACTTCATAGCAACAGGAATGTAACGCAAATGTAAGTAAAGGCAGTCCTTGACTTATAACAGTCTCTTTAGTGACCTTTCAAAGTTACAACGTCACTGAAAAAAATGACATGACCTCGCAGCAATGCCCATGGCCATGTGATCAAAATTCAGATGCTTGGCAACTGACCTATATTTATGACGGTTGCTGTGTCCAGGGGGGTCATGTGGTCAAGTTTTGCGACCTTCTGACAAGCAAAGTCAATGGGGAAGTCAGGTTCACTTAGCAATCGAGTTACTAACTTAGCGACTGTAGTGATTCTCTTAACAAGTGTGGCAAGAAAGGTCATAAAAAGGGCAAAATTCGCTGGACAAATGTTTCACTTAGCAAGAGAAACGTTGGGCTCAATTGTGGCCGTAAATCGAGGACTACCTGTAATCTAATACTATCACTTTAAATATAAAACTTGAATTAGGAAAGCGATCAAAGCTACTTACCTCCCCGTTTTCCAAAGGCACAATGCGGGAATATTCAGTAGTACAAATGACATCATTGTCTTTAGTAATCTTCTCTCTGCTCTTGAGGCCAAATTTCTCTATGCAATCTCTCCTGGAAGCTATTGAGGGCAGATGACAAGATTTACAATCTGGAAGGGTATGACTGCAAACACTCAAAGGACTTTGCACATATAACTAAGTGGCAAGCGTGAAGAATCAGGACTACCCAATAATTTCCAATTAAGGTGATTTATTTCCTCATTCCTATACACAAAAAAATGTGTCAACAGAATTCAAGAGGGATTGGACTGAGTGTTTGTGGGAATGTAAGGATTCTAGGTTGATGACTTGCTTGACTCCGCCTGCAGGCTCTGTCTCTTCTTCTCCTGAACTAAAGTATACATCCTAGTAAGAATATATTGTAGAAAGGCTGAGACAATGGCACACTTAAAATCACCTAAATGAAACTCTGGCAGTGGAAAAAAGCAATGAAAAAAATCCAAATTCTCCTCCTCTCTTATTCAAGTTCATCAACTACCTACGTATAAAAATTGGAAGTAAATTTAGGATCAATTGGAAAATGAAAATGGAGCAATTTTTTTTCTGTTTTGAAGTGCCATGAGAACTTCTTGTGATTTTGCTACCAGAAGAAATCCTTTTTAAAAAGGTCCATCTTCTGCAAAGCTGGAACAATAGAAATTACTGTTTCATTCGAGAGTGGCACAAGAAACCTTATTATCCCATTTTATTTCCTACAGTCCTTATTTCCAACATTCCAGAAGCTGCAGAAGGAGTTCATATTATTAAATAGGATAAGCCATTCTTGCTAGGAATTCAAATTAAGTAACTAAACTAAAAGAAAACAAAGATTAACACAATATGTTCATAGATCACTCTTGACTTATGACCGTACATTTAGTGACCGTTCAAAGTTATAATGTGACTTACGACCAATCCTCGCACTTACAACTGTTGCAGCAGCCCTGCAATCACATGATCATGATTTGATAACTTGGCAACTATCACATATTTTTGATGGTTGCCACATCCCGCGGTCACATAATCAATTATTTGAAATGATCCCAGGTAGCTTCTGATGAGCAAAATCAATATTAATATCGCTTAATTAATATTGTTCTTTGCTCCCTTCCTCTCCATGTCGGTCTGTTTGATTTTAACCGAATTTTAAATTTATGAACTTTATTGCTTTAATGCTTTATGTGGTTGTTTTTATGGAATGACTGTACGTCACCTAGAGTTGCCTTCGGTGACATGGGTGGCATATAAGTTTAATGAATAAATAAATAAATAAAATCTGTTTCCATCTTTTTCACTTTTCTAAGCTGTTTAAAACATCTCGTTCTGGATGAAAGAAATGAGCCAGAAATGCTCCAAAAATAGGTATGGGTAATCCTCAATTTACAAGTTAGTTTAGTGACCGTTTGAAGTTACAACGGCACTAAAAAAAAGGTGATATTTATGACCTTTTTTTACACTTATGACCATTTCAGCATCCCCATGGTCATGTGATCAAAATTCAGAAAGTGGCAACTGACTCATATTTATGACGATTGTCATATCCCAGGGTCACCTAATCATCTTTTGCGTCCTTCTGATAAACGAAGTCAATGGGGAAGCCAGATTCACTTAACAACCGTAACTTAACAACTGCAGTAATTCACTTAACAGCTATGGGAAGAAAGGCCATAAAATGTGGCAAAATACTATTACTGTCTTGCTTTGCAACAGAAATTCTGGCATCAATTATGGTTGTGGATTGAGAACTACCTGTAATTGATCACCAATAAATTCAATAAAGGTGGCATCACGCCTTGGCAAATTCTTGGCACCTAGATTAAGTTCCGACATCCTCTTATTTTTAATAAAAAGGATGCTGTGGTGTCGATCCTCGCGCTTGTTTAAGATCTGGGAAGTTTTTGAGAGAAACTTTGCTTTTCAGAAGAAGTCTCCAAACAAAGAGAAATGAAAACAAAAACCCAAAAAACGCACAGAGCTTGTTGTCCCAAACAACAAATAGAGAACCTTGAGATTTTGCACAGTTGCAAAAACAGCTCGTGAGCAGAGGATGAGGAAGAAGACAGATAAACTTTTGTTTTGGATTTAAAGTCTTCCCGAAAATGCGCAGGAACCGATCCATCACAAAAGAATGTACAGATTACAGATATCTTAAATAAAGGAAGAAGCAAAAATAGTTAGCTGTGTTGTGGAAGGTGGCTTATCTCTTCGCATTGCTCCAAAGCTGGGTTCACATACAGTACTTTCCTGAACTAGGGCTAAGGACTGTGATTTGTTAAACAAGCCATAGTAGGCTATTCCTCACTTAATACAGGTAGTCCTCGACTTACAACAGTTCATTCAGTGCCCGTTCAAAGTTACAATGGCGCTGAAAAAAAGTGACATGACCGATTTTCACACTTATGACTGTTGCAGCATCCCTACGTTCACATGATTGACATTCGGATGCTTGACCACTGACTCACATTTATGACGGTTGCAGTGACCCAGGGCGGGGGGGGCGGTGTCACGTGATCCCTTTCTGCGACCTTCCGACAAGCAAAATCAATGGGGAAGCCAGATTCACTTAACAACCGTGTTACTAAATTAACAACTGTGGCGAGTCACTTAACCAAGGTGGGAAGGATAGTCGTAAAATGGGGCAAAACTCACCGAACAAATTTCTCACTTAGCAACATAAATTCTGGGCTGAATTGTGGTCGTAAGTCAAGGACTACCTGCACTATACCATAAAGCAGTGTTTTTCAACCTCAGGATCTGTTAAGATGTACGGACGGAGGAGTGGGATTCAGCCGGTTTGGGAAAATCGGTAGTTATATGCTAGCGGCTGGACCCGCCCACCCGTCCTGGTCCTATCCCGTCTTATACAATCACTGTATTTATTTATTTATTTATTTATTTATTTATTTATTTATTTATTTATTGAATTTCTATACCGCCCTTCTCCCAAAGGACTCAGGGCGGTGAACAGATTAAGATTTCATATACATATAATAATTTTTTTTTAATATAAACAGTAAATAATAAATTGAGTCAACTTGGTGTATCTGCTAAGACCTTGGCATAGAATTTAGATGTTTATGCTAGCCCTGCTTGTTGAAACAGAAAGGTCTTCAGGGCACATCGGAAAGTGCGAAGATCTGGGATTATTCGTATTCCAGGGGGTATTTTATTCCAAAGAGTAGGTGCCCCCACAGAGAAGGCTCTCTCCCTTGGAACTACTAGACGACATTGTTTTAATGATGGTACTATGAGTAGGCCTACTCTGTGAGAGCGTATTGATTGGTGGGAGGTTATTGGTTGCAGCAGATGGTCTCGTAAGTACTAAGGTCCTAAGCCATGGAGCACTTTAAAGGTAAGAACCAACACCTTGAAGTGCACTCGGAAGGCCACCGGAAGCCAGTGCAGCTTGCATAGAAGAGTTTTTAAACTGTGTTTTTGACCCAGCACACATGTGCGCAAGGCGCGCAAGAGAGCAAAGCTATCCCATCCTATACAATTGCTGTGTTTTTGACGCAGCACGCATGTGTGCAAGGTTTGCTCGCACTCACATTTTCAATTCTGGGCCAACCGGTTGTTAAATTATATGAAGCCCACCTCAGTATGGACAGTTCCCAGAAATGACCTGAGTGGGGAATTTGGGGAGTCTATACATCTTAAAGTTGCTATGGTTGAGAAACATTGCCATAACACAAGCTTTACATGTCAAAATGTCTGCGTTCACACTCCTTCATAAGCCTAAAACAAATATGTATCTTTGGGGTTTTGTTGAGGTCGTAATTTGAGGACTATCTTTAAAGCTGTTCAAATGCACAGCACGAAAACTTGCTTCAGTCATTGTTATTAAAATTAAAAAATCCGCTCTCCCTTTTATTTTTCCTTTTTCTTTCTTAAATCTTTTGTTTTGTTTTTTTTTGTACTTTGGGATTTACTTTGAAAGCCTAAAAGCAATGAATGTGAAGCAACAATTGTAGCAGTGGTGAAATCCAAATTTTTTTACTACCGGTTCTGTGGGCATGGCTTGGTGGGCGTGGCAGGGGAAGGATACTGCAAAATCCCCATTCCCACCCCACTCTGGGGCCAGCCAGAGGTGGTATTTGCCAGTTCTCCGAACTGCTCAAAATTTCCACTACCGGTTCTCCAGAACCTGTCAGAACCTGCTGGATTTCACTCCTGGTTTGTAGGCACCTAAAGATCCCTCTGTTTTACGTTGTAGGGTGATTAGATGCTTCTGTTAGATCAGTCAGTGCGTTAATAACACCCAGATGGACTCTGCGGGATTATTGCACAGCACATCATTGCAGTCCATGGATTCTCAAATTTGTCAGCGGTGATAACCCGCTAATCCAATATACATGTTAAACTTCAAATCCAGAACCACTCGCAGTTCTTCAGGCATTAACTCAGGAATTAATTTAACTTGGCAAAAGACTCTCAGATCTAACTAGATTAGAATCTTTGCTAAACATAAACCGGAAATTTTATTCACTCAGAAATTGTAAATACAGAAATACAGAACAGAAAGTCAAATACTGTATCTTATGCAGGGATTCCTCCACTTACGATGACAACTGAGCCCAAAATATCTGTTGCTAAATGAGACATTTGTTAAGTGAGATTTACCCCATTTTATGAGCGTTTTTTTGGCACAGTTGTTAAGTGAATCACTAGCAATTCTTAAATTAGGAACCTGGTTGTTAAGTGAATCTGGCTTCCCCATTGACTTTGCTTGTCAGAAGGTCGCAAATGGGGATCACGTGATCTCGCGGTACCGCAATCATCATAAATATGAGCCAGTTGTCAAACATCTAAATTTTGATCATTTGACCATGGGGATGCTGCCACGGTCGTAAGTGCGAAAAACGGTCATAAGTCACAATATTATTCTATAAATCTTCATGCATTATTCAAAGGAAAGATTCCAGTTGGACTAGAAGATCCCTTCGAGACCTATCATTTTATGAAATATAAATAGTCCTCAACTTTACAACCATTCGTTTACTGACCATTTGTATAACAGTACTGAAAAAAGTGACTTAAGGCAGGTTCTCACTGATACAAACATCGCAGCATCCCTATAGTCACGTGATCAAAATTCGGGCGATTGTATTTACAACAGTTGCCATGTCCCAGGGACATGTGATTACCATTCACATGTATGTCCCAAAGGTCCTTTTTCAGGAGGCAACTGTATTTTCTTGTTTTTTCTTTTGAAGACGTTTTGCTTCTCATCCAAGAAGCTTCTTCAGCTCTGACTGGATGGTGGGGAATGGAAGGATTTATATTCCTTGCAGACAGCTCGTAATCTGCATCCTTTTAGAACAGGGGTGTCAAACTCAAGGCCTACTACAAACTACATGGGCTAGATTTGGACTGCAATGTGGATGGGTCTGGCCTGTGGGGCCATCCCAGTCTACCTGCGTCGCTTCGGCCCAGTCTACCCAATGCGAAGAAGAAACATCCCCGTCCAGGAGTGGGATTCAGCTGGTTCAGTCCAATTCGTGCGAACCATATGTTAATTTTAATCTGGTTCGCCGAACTGGTAGTTGCAAGGACTGGCTGACCCCCCCTCCCCTCCCAGGAGTCTCCACGTGGACTGTTTTAGAGTCCAGGTACGTGCAGGGCCCATGCGGAGGCTCTGGGAGGGCAAAAAATGGGCCTACCGGAAGTACTGGAAGTCCGGAAACAGGCCCGTTTCCGGGCTCCGGAGAGCTTCTGGAGCCTGGCAGAAGCTGTTTTCGCCCTCCCGGAGGCTCGAGGAAAGCCTCTGGAGCCTGGGGAGGGCGAAAATGCCCCCCCACCATGGTGCAGGAAGATGACTAGGACATGCACCCATGGCCACGCCCATCCAGCAACCGGGCACAGAACCCATTGCTAAAATTTTTCAGTCCCACCCTGGCCCCATCTACCCGCATCGCTTCAGCCCAGTCTACCCAATGCAAAGAGGAAACATGCCAGCAGTTTGGGGAGTGGTGTCAAGCTGGCCACGCCCACCCAGTCGGCCACACCCAATGAGTGGTGTCAGGCTGGCCATGCCCACCCATTCAGCCACGCCCATCCAGCCTCCACGAGGTCAACCACAGCCCTGATATGGCCCTCAATGAAATTTATCTATCTATCTATCTATCTATCTATCTATCTATCTATCTATCTATCTATTAGTTCGATTTATATGCCACCCTTTTCCGGAGACTCAGGGCGGCTTACAGGAGGCTATTGCGTTAAGCAATAGCCTTCATACTTTTGTATATACCTGCTTAGTAGGGCTTTCCCCCACCCACCAAAGTGGTTTTCTTTTGTATACAAAGTCAGCTTATTGCCCCCACAATCTGGGTCCTCATTTTACCTACCTCGAAAGGATGGAAGGCTGAGTCAACCTTGAGCCTGGTGAGAATTGAACTCGCAGTAATTGCAGGCAGCTGGCAGCTAAGTGCTACTTTAACAGCACTTTAGTCTGCTGCACCACCAAGGCTCTTTTGAGTTTGAGTTTGTATACCCTGTTTTAGAGGGTCATTGAAACACAGGATGCAGATTATCAGCTGTCTGCAAGGAATATCAATCCTTCCATTCCCCACTATCCTGTCGGAGCTGAAGAAGCTTCTTGGATGAGAAGCGAAACGTCTTCAAAGAAAAAGTTCGGTTGCCTCCTGAAAAAGCACCTTTGGGACAACCAGGACCTGGATGACTAAGAATCTCTACACACATTCACATGTATGTATCCTTCCCAGCTGGCTTCTGCCAAGCCAAATCAATAGGGGAATCGAAAGTTGCTTAATGACCCCATAGTTCACTTAACAACTGTGGTGATTTGCTTAATAAATGTGGCAAGGAGGTTGTAAAATGGGACCAAATTCTCTTAACGACTGCCGTGCTTAGCAACAGACATTTTGGGCTCAATTGTGATTGTAAGTGGAGAACTACCACTATATATAAAAAATATAAGCCACTGGCACAAAGCCTTCTGTTTTTCTTTGAGACCCTCTTTGGGATAAAAATGTTTCTTATTCTTTTAACCATGAGGTGAAACTTAATGCGTTACTGTCAAAAGTTGTGAGTTGTAGCACACTCAAGGGAACCTGTTCCTGTATTATCCCCGCAGTTATTCTTTTTCCAGGTTTTTCTGTTTAAAAGATCATCATAAAACTTAATTCACATCTTCTACCAATTACTATTATTTCTCTCTGGAGAAGCCAGTGTTTAATACTTTCCAACAGCTTGCGGTCTTCTCTATGCCTGCTTGAAAACGATGTGTTTGCCGAGGAAACCGACACATTTGGCCAAACCTAACTAGAGGTAGTCCTCGGCTTACGACCACAATGGAGCCCCAAATTTCTGTTGCTATGTGAGATGCTCCTGTGGTTCCCTCTATGGCCGCTTTGTCTTCCTCCATCTTCCCTGAGTCTTCATGCCACCCGGTGTTGGGTCGATGTTCGGGGCTCAGGACCCCGGACAGCACCCCAAAGTTCAGGGAGCTGGTTGAAGTTTTTAAGGAGATTCGGGTTAACGTCAGGGCAACACCCCCAACTAAAGAAGATTCCGAAACCTGAAGTTCCTCAAAGTTCCATTTTTATTAGAGATGTCATATTGGCACATCTGAGAAAACCCGAATCTGAAAGCTTCCAGGTTTCCCCCCCCCAAATGAAAATCGAAATTCCTGCCCAGTACCCACATGTCCATCATGTGGCCTAATCAATGCACCATCCCAACTGGAGATGCCTCCCAGTCACACTCCTCCAGGTGCAGGGCAGGATGTCCTTGACTCCCAGAGAAAGGAATGTTATTATGGCTAGATATCTCCTCAGCTCCATACAATCCCCCTCCTTCCAGTTTCCCACAGCACTAAATGTGGCAGGCCTGAAGGCCCAATGCAAAAGATGGCTTCCAGGCCTGACAGATGCTTGTTTTGCCCCATTTTACGATCTTTCTGGCCACAGTCATTAAATGAATCACTGCAGTTGTTAAGTTGCTGTTAAGTGAAACTGATTTCCCCATAGACTTTGCTTGTCAGAAGGTCGCAAATGGGGATCACGTGACCCTGGGCAATTGTGGCTCTTTTACAACCTGTGGACTGCAACTCCCAGAATTCTTGAGACAGCTTGGCTGTCTCAGGAATTCTGGGAGTTGAAGTCCACAGGTTGTAAAAGAGCCACAATTGCCCACCCCTAGGACATTGCAACCGTCATAAATGGGAGTCAGTTGCCAAGAGGTTGGATTTTGATCACGTGACCCTGGCGATGCTGCAAGTGTGAAAAACGGTCATAAGTCATTTTTTTCAGTGCCGTTGTAACTTTGAATGGTCACTAAATGAGCTGTCGTAAACTTGAGATTTGCTCTGCGAACAGTAGGCAGTTTCATACTGAGAAAACAAATTCTCTGACTGAATTTCCTTACATTTTTTACTTCAGGGAATAGTGAAGAACACCAGGTAGACAGAAATGCATTTTTATCTAAGCGAGTCATGCCCCATTTTACAATATATCTTGCTGAGATCATTAAGTCATTAAATGAATTGGGTCTTCCCCCCTGACTTTGCTCGTTGGAGGTTAGCTGGGAAGGTCACGTGACTCCTGGGACACTGGCTGACCAAGTGCCTGAATTTGGATCACATGACCGCCAGGAGACTGGGACAGTCGTAAGTGAGAGGAGCCTGTGAGAAAGGTGAGAGAAGTTTCACCCTCTCTTTTTAAAGGCTACCTGGGCATCCGTAGAATATTTACAACATCACGCAAGATGGAAGGAGATTATGTTTCGTCCTCCTCATGATCTCACCCAATTCTGTTGAAAGTTCCTCAGCTTATATAAATATTAGAACAGAACAGAACAGAACAGAACAGAACAGAACAGGGTAGGGTAGGGTAGGGTAGGGTAGGGTAGGGTAGGGTAGGGTAGGGTAGGGTAGGGTAGGGTAGGGTAGGGTAGGGTAGAATAGAATAGAATAGAATAGAATAACAGAGTTGGAAGGGACTTGGAGGTCTTCTAGTCCAACCCCCTGCCCAGGCAGGAAACCCTACACCACTTCAGACAAATGGTTATCCAACATCTTCTTAAAAACTTCCAGTGTTGGAGGATTTACAACTTCTGCAGGCAAGTTGTTCTACTGTTTAATTGTTCTCACTGCCAGGAAATTTCTCCTGAGTTCTAAGTTGCTTCTCTCCTTGATCAGTTTCCACCCATTGCTTCTTGACCTGCCTTCAGGTGTTTTGGAGAATAGCTTGACTCCCTCTTCTTTGTGGCAACCCCTGAGATATTGGAACACTGCTTTCATGTCTCCCCTAGTCCTTCTTTAAACTTTTCCTAATCAATTAATCCCTTTTAATTTGTTTTCATACTCACAGGCAAAATACTGCCAAGGATCATATGTCACTCCAAAATCAGTTGAACGTTCTAGCACCCACAAATCCGGGCGGGGAGAATTTGCAAACTTAATCAGTACATAGGCCACATGGAACAACTGTGAAAAAAAGGAGAAACAAACGTATATGTTAGCACAAAATAACACAGTTCCACTCCTCCAAGAACATACACGCAGCAGGTATATAAAGCTGAAAGTTGTATGATAGGAAAAATGTCATCAAGTTTTGATTGGACAATTACAGGTACTCCTCGACTTACAACAGTTCATTTAGTGACCGTTTGAAGTTACAACAGCACTGGAAAAGAGTGGCTTATGATCGTTTTTCACACTTAGTACCTTTCCATCATCTCGTGGTCAAAATTCAAACGCTTGGCAGCTGACTCGTATTTATGACGGTTGCAGTTTCCAGGCATCACCCTTTACAACCTTCTGACAAACAGAGCCTTGGTGGTACAGGGGTTTAAGGCACCCTGTTATTAAGCTTATTAAGACCAGCTGCCTGCAATTACTGCAGGGTTCGAATCTCGCCAAGGCTCAAGGTTGACTCAGCCTTCCATCCTTTCTAAGGTAGGTGAAATGAGGACCCAGTTTGTGGGGGCAATAAGCTGACTTTGTATAAATATACAAAAGGATGAAGGCTATTGCTGAGCACATTGTAAGCCGCCCTGAGTCTTCGGAGAAGGGCGGCATATAAATCAAATTAAAAAAAAAAAAAAGTTAATGGGGAAGCCAGGTTCACTTAACAACCATGTTACTAACTGAACGACTGCAGTGATTCACTTAACAACTATGGCAACAAAGGTTGTAAAATGGGGCAAAATTCACTTAACCACCGTCTCACCTAGCAATAGAAAATTTGGGCTCTACTGTAGTGGTAAGTCAAGGACTAACTTGTAATAAGGAGATTTAAAAAATAGATTTTAAAAAAATCTTCCCTATACTTCATCAGATTTTCAGAAATTGTGCTCTATTCCTTTATGGCTTTTTTTCTAAAAGGGTAGCGATTAAAATTTATGATGGACCTTCTCTATAGCTTTCCTATATGGTCCATCCATGCTCCGTCTCATGAAGAAGGCTTCTCATGAAGCCTCTTGTATGTAATCAGAAAGGAAATCCCACTCTGTTCCGGCCCTGATGATGTTACCTAGTTGGGTAATGAAACGTCTGCAAGAAAACAACCAAGCTCAAAGAGCACCAAGGACCCCTCATTTCAACCTGGGTTACAAATATTCTCATCTATGGGTGCTAATTATTGCTTTTAAAACACATCCTTCCCTGGGGAAATTCAAGCCAGCCACATGGAAAGGAAACTTTCCTTTATATGATATACATCCAGTGGTGGGATTCAAATAATTTAACAATCGGTCGGTTCTCTGCCCTAATAACTGGCTGGGTGGGCATGGCCATGGTGGCAGGGTTGAAATGTAAAATTTGTTACTACCGGTTCTGTGGGCGTGGCTTGGTGGTGGGGGGTAATGTGACTGGGTGGGCGTGGCCAACTATTTTTTTTTTAACTTTTCAAAGCATTTTTTCTAATGCTTTGAAAAGCCTCTGCCGATCAGGCAACTCTGCTGGGATCGTCAGAGAGGCTTTTTAAAAAATACCTCTCTGCCGACCAGGCAAGTCAGCTGGGATCGGCAAAGACTTTTCAAAGCAATTTTTTTACCACCTCTTCGGCCAAGAGGTTGCAGAAAAAAATGCTTTTAAAAGTAAAAAAAAAAAAAAAAGCCTCTGATGATCATGCGGCTCAGCTGGGAATGGGGGGCGGGGGTGCGCAGGGATTTTTGCTATCGGTTCTCCAAACCACCCGCAGCCATCGCTACCGGATCGGGCGGTCTGGTCCGAACCGGAAGCATTTCACCCCTGCATGGTGGGCGTGGCCAGGGGGGTGACAGGCAGCACTGGAACTCCTGCATCCCCCTGGGAGCAAAAACGGGTCATGGGGGAACACACACCCCTACGCCCCATTTTGGGCCTAGCAGACCTCCTTGCCGCCTCCTGGGAGTAAAAACAGGGCGCGTGGAGACTCCGGGAAGGGGGTGAGGGGAGGGGCCAGCCAGCAATTTAACAATTGGTTCACCTGAACCTGCCCAACTGGCTGAATCCCACCACTGTATACATCTGTGATGACGAACCTATGGCATGCGTGCCACAGGTGACACGCAGAGCCCTCTCTGTGGGCACGCGAGCCGTCACCCCAGCTCAGTTCCACCCCGCATGCTCGCATGCCTCCCGCCAACCAGCTGGTTTTCAGGTCTCTGCCATGCATGCGTAGGGGCTGGGGCGCATGTGGGAGATGCGCATGCATGTGCCAGGGCACGGCACATTAATAGGGGGGACAGGGGAGCATGGGGGGAGCGCACGCATGTGCAGGGCACATGCCAGGGGGGTCACGCATGCATGTGCAGGGGGCAAGGCGCACAGGGGGTATCGCGCGTGCCTTGCATTATGGATGCGCACGCATGCTTTCGGCATGTGTTGACAAAAAGGTTAGCCATCACTGGTATACATCCAATCAGTTGCTAAGACAAGATAGCTTCTGATAAGACCTTCACAGCTCTCAATACAAGGTGCTTCTAATTCGTTTGAAGACTGAGAGTAACAATGGACTCTGTGTTGTTAAGGAAATTAAATACTCAGGCAACACGATGTTTATTAAGCACTAAGAAATATAATTAATAGAAAATTAATAAAAATTATTATTTTTTTAGAAAGAGATTGATTTGTGCAGCCATATCCTTGCCAAGACTGAAAAAAAGCATGCAGCTTAAAAATATCAGTGCTGGGGGGAAAAAACAACAATCTCAGCAACAGAATTCCTCTTTTTAAGCTGGCACCAGCTTTCTCCAAAAATCTTCACTTTATCATCCTGTCCAAAAATTCTATTTAAAAACACACCACCATCCCTAAAATGACCCTTATTTTATCAGTACGGTAAGAATGCTTAAATTAAAACATCGGAAATTCTGTGACGCTTACAGATATACGGGTCTTCCAATGTTCAAACCAAGGGAATAAAATTGTCTGTCACTAAATCAACTGTTGTAAGTCAAGGACTACCTAAAACTGTGAGCCACCCAAGCTGTGAGTTGCTGATCCGTGGCAGATCAGCAGCTTATCAATTGCATTTCTCTATAAATAAATAAAGAGCTCCATCAACTGTACAACACTCTAAAAGGAAAAAAGAATCTGTGAGGGAAAAGTAAGAGAAACACACATTATATTTTAGATATTTGTGGGCTAGATTCTATACTTAAAACAGGTATGAAAATGAGGAAAATTTAACTATATGCTACTCCTGGGAAATGAAAGTTTTTGTTTCATTGATTTTTCCTGAACTAGGATTATTTGCAAAGAAAACTAAGGAAGTATATAGGATTCAGTTTCTGCTTTTAATTAATATTGTTTCATCAACAGGATCTAGTTACTATTGCTTCTCCTAGCAATTATATGGAGATTCATATTCAGTTCCAGAACAATACATACTCTTCTCTAAATAACATTAATCTCAACATTTACTATTTGTTTCTTTTTTGTTATTGTTTCTATAATCATCTCTTGTTGCTTCACAATGTTTATGCTGAAGCCGTTTTATTTCCTAAATTATCATCCCAAGAAATTATTTTGTTCCTTTCCACTTTCTTGAAAGAACTAAGAAACTTCTAGAAACACCTGTTACATTATTCCATCTTAATCCTCCTTTTGGCTACCTTCTTTTTAATTCACATGTTTTTTTTTTATTATTTTAAATTTTTTATTGAAAATTATTAAAAAATACAGAAAAAAATATAATAATATGGATAGAATTGCAGAGTGTAATATAATACATATAGAGTTTTAAAGTATCAATTTTCGCCTGGAGAAAGTACAAACTTCTATTAAGCTAACTCATCAAAAGAAAGAAAATGTTTAACAATTCATTGATTTTTTTAAAAAGTATATTGATCTTCTGAGAAAAGGATACCAAAAAGTCAAGATAATTTTTCTCTACAACAACAAATGAAAATCCCTTTCTTCCCCCGTCGAAAAAATATATCAAAGGTATATATTTAGTATATATTTTATTGTTTTAAGTTGGTTTTAATATTTTTAAGTTTAATATATTTCAATATATTGATTTTTAAATATTTAATATTTTAATACATTAAAAGCTGTAATATATTTTTTGAATTGTAAGCTGCCCAGCGTCATTGACTGAGATGGGCGGCTACAGAAATTGAACAAATAAATAAACAAACAAATAAATAAATAAACTTATCGAAGAATCGTTCGTAGGTATTTAAACATTTTAGCTTCAAATAACGTTTGCTACAGTGGTGGGTTTCAATTTTTTTTACTACCAGTTCTGTGAGTGTGGCTTGGTGGGCATGGCTTGGTGGGCGTGGCAGGGGAAGGATACTGTAAAATCTCCATTTCCTCCCCACTCCAGGGGAAGGATACTGTAAAATCTCCATTTCCTCCCCACTCCAGGGGAAGGTTACTGCAAAATCCCTATTTCCTCCTGATCAGATGGGACTTGGGAGGCAGAGAATAGATGGGGGCGGGGCCAGTCAGAATTTTTACTGCTGGTTCTCCAAACTACTCAAAATTTCCGCTACTGGTTCTCCAGAACTGGTCAGAACCTGCTGAAACCTAGCTCTGGTTTGCTATCCTTAAGTCATTTGTTTAGCATTTTCAAGGTTAAACTGTAATATAAAAGAAATGTACGTGCCTTTTTTGTGTGGACACAACTGTCTAGATGTCCCATTGCTTTGTAAAGTGGAAAAAAGAAACACAAACACACATAGACACTAAAAAGGAAAACCCAGCCAGGCCTACATTCCTGAAAAGGTGAAGCAGTTCTTATCTTTCTACAGTAGGTTAATTATGGAGGAATCCAGCTAGAAAGGAATAGAAATCAAACCTCTCCCTCTTTTTATTTCTACAAAGAATTCGCTGGATTATATATAATATTGCAGCATTCAGAGGAAGGGGGCAGGGTCAGACAGCCGTAAAAAAACACTGATAAAAGTTGACCATGACTATAAAATAATAAAAGATTGCGATATTAATCTCAAACAAAACATATACACCACAGCAAAGGGCACAATTTATCT